TACAACATCAGACATTTATGTTCTGTCTCCTCTCCCACATTATAAACAGACCTCCCAAGGCAGGACCATGTCTTATTTCTCTTTATATCTCTACTCCATTCCATAATAGCTGTCACAGAGAGTGGGCATTTCATAAATAGAGGGAATGCAATCATTCATTTTCAAATTTCAATTGGAAAAAGTCTATTTACTCATACTCAGAGATGCACAGACTCTCTTTATATCTGAGTAGTAAAAAATTTTATTAAAAAGACTGACATATTTGTTTCTAATTCAGGTTGATTCATTAAATTTTAGAGAACACAGTATTCAGTAATCTTGCAACAGAGCAAATACCAGAGTTGCTTTATAATCAAGTTTCTATATGAAGATTTCTAGATTGCTGATTTTCCTGAATCCTGTCGAAATGTAAACGAAAGTTGGAACATGAGAAAATATGGACTTTTCTTGTGTTTAAAACTATATTTATCCAATTAACAAATGACAGAAGCTTAAAGGTACCAGTAAAGATGTATGCTCAGATATATGCTGTGTTACTTGAACCAAATGGTAAGGAAAGAAAATAGATTTCTAATCCACTAAGAACAAACACTAAAATTTTGGTTCCTCATCAAGAGTAGCTATAAAAAAATTGTGAAAAAAGTAACCCAACTAGAAAACTTCCTGTGAAAAATGATTATGGTTTACATCTCCAAATTTAAATGCATGATTTAATTTTAATATTCTATAAAATATGGAATACAAAGACAAGAAAATGTATGAAATTTCACTTAATAACTTGTTGCTTTTGTATTACATTATCCAATTCTCTTATGTTTTTTTAAAAGCTCTGTTCTTTTACATGGATCCAAAAAGTTCTGAGGCCACATTTGAGCAGTCTAGGTTTGAAATTCATACACTCTGCATTTTAGAACAGAATGTAAGGTCTGCCATTGTAGCAACTTCAATATTAAACTTTCAGCCTTACTATAAGAATACACATCACATGTACATTTGCTATTATTTATATGTATCATGTGCATATTTTTCTCTCATACATATCTCAGCTTGGCTCACATATTCATATATACATATACATGAATACAGGGAAACAAACGCAAGAATGGTCTGATAAGATGTCTCTCTCATATTTAGTGAATTACAGTAGTCTGATAGAGAATTACAGCTACTGTGTTCCTTGCTCAGCTGAGTTTACAAAAGGTAAATAAGAATTTATCAGATGTCTTTATGTGTGCATGTCACATCTTTCCACTAGAAGTAGATATATGGACTGTGTTTAATGCCTATATCCTCATTATTAGCCATGTGCTGGCAGAACACAAATGCTCCAAAGCATGAGCTCTACCACACAATGTCTGCCTTCCTACCCTAACCCAACAGTGACCAGCTGATGGATGAGGTATATAAATGCCAGAGCTTTGCTGTCTTCATAAGTAAACTGTGTTAGGATTCTAACCAAACGTGGAGGTTGCATAGCACTTTGTCTATAGTTAGTCACATGGTTGGTTAATGAGTACTTGCTCATTAATTGATAAACTTGTCTCAGGAAAGGTCTGGATTTACTGTCAGCCATTACTTTCACAGACTTGCCTGTTTTACAGCTATATAGACAGGTATTTGAGAATATAAGAAATTAAAACAGAAATAGGAAAGCTTTTTAGTCCATTTTGCTAATTAATATGTCAGAGCTCATAAAGAAGAACTCTTTGGCTTTCTTCAGTACTGCATCATCTTAAAGAGCTGCATCAACAAAGTTCTCTGCAGACAGTCAATATATATTAAAACATCCCAAGCAGTAAATCAAAACAACAGAAAAGAAGACAATATAGTACTCAAGAAAGTAAAATTTATAATCCCTTTCTGACAATGCAGAGTATTAAACTATTGGTTTAGGTGTCTGTTAAGCATATGAAAAGAAAAACTAAGAATTCCTTTTCAGATATACTTTTTGACTATGAGTATAATCAAAATTAAAGGATAATTTGAAAAAGGGACATGCCAAATTTGATATTTCCTCTGAATTGTTATGTTCCCCTGAATATTTAAGTTGTTTCATTGTTTTAAAATATTTCTTCTGCTACCCCTCCATACCCTGCATTTCTAGGATTTGTTGTTCAATTAGTGAGATAGGAAAAGAGGTTTCATATACAGTGGACCCTTGACCTACGAACTCAATTAGTTCCCGAGAGCTGGTTGTAACTCAAGTTGGTTGTGAGTCAATACAGCTGAAATCTGGATGTTTACCTGGGTACATGCTATAGATAACAAGAGGCAGATGAATCTTCCATTAACCTAATTAACACAAGTTGTTCGTATGTCATGCCAGTCATAACTTGAGGTTCCATTGTGCTTTGGGATTTTCCAGGCTCAGTAAAACTTGTGCTTTTTCTTAAAGGAACTGAACAACAGGGATTTTAGTTGTAATGTCTGTGGGAAGGTCTCACCATCTCTAGACATAAACATCCTTCATGTGTAGAGGCCCTACAAGATCATCAACAGGAGCTCTCTTCCTGCCAAGGTAAGGAAATACCAGGCACGGTTAGGGGAAGCTCCCATGTTAGGTCATTAGAGGAATCTCAAGAATACTAGATTGATTTCACAAGGTGCGGGGAGGAACAATGTATTTGGTGCCAAAAATGTTAGAAAGACTTATCTTACCTGGGCCTTTGATTTTTTTTCTGAGCTCTGAGGAATCAATCACTTGAAGATTAAGCCAAGGGAAAGGTGCCAAAAATCTTGTCACAAAATTGGGAGGTACCCAAGCCAGACCAATAAATGGAATTTGGCACAAAATGACTCTCTGTGGACTAAGTAGCTGACTCAGAAGAAATTTTAACTTGGATAAATTTCTTAAAATGTTGAATATCATTCCAAATAAGAGGAAGGATGAGAGATTTAGGTCAGCACATACCATTTAATTTAATTTCCTGATAGTCTTGGATAGTATTAAAGCTGCCTACATTTCTGGAATTAAAGAGAAAGAGAGTTTTTTTTTCTTAGCAAAGAAGACACCAGTTTTTCACCTAAATATTCAGGAGAAAGGATATTGTAACCAAAAGTCACGCGATCCCTTTTAACACTGGTGAGAAAAGTAGGATCACTGAACATTACAAGTTAACATTCAACTTGGTAACTTTTTAAGTAGCCACTGCCTGGATAAGGTTGAGACTACAGTTTTATATTAGGTAAATTAAAAAAATTATTCTGTAACCGAAAAAGCTTGTCAGACCTAAAGGGACCCTTAATCCCTAGCACCTCCATTCTCTTGTCACCAATGCCCAAAGAGGTGATAGGGGGTAAAGAAAGGAATTGAGATGTGTTCCTTACATGTAACAACTCCACACAAGGAATGTAAACATTAAGTACTACAAACATGTACTGTTTTAAAAAAAGAAGATATGAAGCCAAAACTAAACCCATTATATTTAAATAGTATGGTTCATGTGATGTAAAGATTGTTCGTACTATTCCTATCTATGAGCTAAAACAATATTGCCACGTGGAGTTGGTAAGAATCTACCTGACAGCTTTAAAATCCTGCCATTTTTGACTTCCTCTTTATTTAAAGTATTACAGTGTTACACTAAGATGACAGTGTTCTCAGTTAAAAAGATTGACAATAGCTTTTTAAATTACCGGCTATCAGTAATTTGGATTTTAACTAAGATTAGAATACTACTGGAGTGACCAAATTGATAAGCATTCTTAAAAGCCACATGGATTATTTTTATTTGAATCCTATGTACATGAAAAGGCTTTAATTTTCAGATCTTAATGTAAGAGAACTATGGCAGGACCATGTATTAAGATGAAAACAATGTAGGCTATCCTTAGGGTTCCTCAGTCAAGAAAACTTCCTTCTCAAGCTCCTAAAAATATTTCCAGTCATAGGAAACTTAATGAAAGAGGAGAGTAGGAACATGCAGCATGTGGCAATTCATCACTCCCATGGAAATCTTTTCTTTCACAGTGTTCTAACCTCTTAGGCGTTTTATTAGGAAGAATGGGGGAAAACATCCAAGAGTTATGAACCACCCATTTCCCGCTGTTATCAATGGAGAATCTGGAGAAAGAAGAAAAGAAAAAAAATCTAGTTTTGTCCTAAAAGATGATGGAGGCAATGAGGCATTGAGGCCACTTAGTGCTGAAAACATAACTGGCACATAAACTAAGGAGATGCTCAGGGATGAGAGAGGCTTCTTTGTTTCAGAAACAGAGGGATGCCAACAAATCATGACCCTTCTGTTGTGTGGAGTAGCAATTCTAAGAGTCAAATGGATATTTTTTTCCCCAAAGTAATGTGCCCCTGGAGGAAAGGAATTATTATGGTATTTGCAAACTTAGTAGGTAGCTTCAAATGTTTGCAACTAATGTGAATAAATGAGAAAGGAAGGGCAAACAAAGAGAAGGCAGAACGTTTGGTAATGAAGGGGCAACATGGAATTTAGACAAAAAGGAACTTTTCATATGATAAAGCCCTAGAGACCCTGAGATATCTGAGTGGGCTTCCCAGGGAACATCTGGGGGCCCCTTTCTGAGCGAAGAGAGCAGCAAGACCTCTCTCACAGCCCTTTTTGGTAACGGGGAAATGCTTCTTTTTTCTTATAGGGGAAAGAAATTACCACATACTTCTTACTCTGGAGCTCTCTGTACTGCTGTTTTGATATGAAAGTCATTGTGGGAAAGAATTTTTAACTTTTCTGGTTTTCAATATTTTTATTGGTTAAGTATTCAGTTGATGTACAGGTTTAAATTTTGTATTTATAATTTTTTTGGAAACCTATCTTCTGTCCTCTCAAACATTTTGAGTCAGCATACATTATGCCACCGTGCACAGAGCCAAGCAATAACTCATCTTTGTGGACATCAGAGACATCTCATGTATTAATTAGAAAGCCTTTCAGTTATGGGCAGGCAGAAACAGGTTCCAACTGCTACTAAAACACAGACAGGGATTTCCAGGAAGGGCAATAGAAAGTCAGATACAAGGAATTTCTTACCAGGTCTGGGTCCAGCCAATGAATGTAATTTGCTTTCATCTGCTACTGAGGAGAAGAAATAAAAGACAAGGATTAGACCTGCTTATAAATCAGACATTTTTTTGAAAAAAAAATATAATCATAGTAAGTTCAAAATTTTACTGGAAAAGATTTGAGAATATTTTTTCTTCCAGCCTACACTGTTGTACTTCATTTTTCCTGAGGACATTTATAAAGACAGCTATGAAGAAATATGTTTTTTTTAGATCTATTAGGAATATAACATCATTTAAAAATATTTTGATACTTTCCTTTATCTGGATTGTTGTTTCTATACTTACAAGAAAAGAAACTAAATTCAAGGGCTTAGAGATGTATAATATATAAGAAAGCTTATTGAGCATAAAAGCATACATTCAATTCTCAAGGATTAGATTTTGCTATCTGTTCCAAATGAAGGAAAAGAAAAAAATTTGTAATTTGTAATTTGTAATTCCTCGAATCAATTAAAACACTGGACAAAATTGAAATAGTGGCATTTGACTGTTAGATGTCAGGCAATAAAGGACAGTGATAGAATATAAAAGCAGCAAATCCTGCAGTTTCTCTAGCCCCAGCTTCTGTCAGAGAAAGTGTCCAGTGATGTTCGTTGCTTAAGAACATGGCACAGGATGTCCAGGGAAGCCAGGGCAGGTGGTATGAATAGGGCAGATAACCAGGAAGAGAGCTGTCTGAACTTCTAATCTTTTTGAGAATTCCTTCATGTATTCAGTTGAATACTGATGATCACACATATATGAGATAAGTACTCAAAGACTTGGCAAAGAATCACCCAGATTAGAAAGGTAAAAGGCATCTGCAATTCACACAGGGCTGAGAATGGTACCCATTCCCCAAAGCTTAAATGCAAAGCTTCATAATTCAGGGCACCAGTTAGAAAATGAAGGTTCTTGCCTCAGTAGTGTGGGAAAAAAAACAACCTTTTTTGAAAGGCTCAGATTACCAAAGCTTAAAAAGGGAAAAATAATTTGAGTAGCCCAATAACAGTTTTTCCAAAACAAGAGTATATGTCCAATAACTTTTTCCAAAATAAAAGAGTATATGTAAAACTTTTTTACAAGGAAAAGTTTAGACTCAGATGGCTTCACTGAATTCCACTGAACATTTAAGGAAGAAATAATACTGATCCTATAGAAGCTTTACCAGGGTTTAGAGGGAGGTTTCCCAGCTCATCCCATAGGGCTACTATTGACATTAGTATCAGGAGAAGAATACATGAAAACTACTAAACTCATATTCCTCATGAACACAGATACAACCATTCTTAATCTTTAATCACCTGTGTGGAAAACAACTTCAATATTTGACAAAAACTATTCATTTGCTTACCATATGCCACTGTCCATGTTAGTTTATTAAACTCTGGGGCTCATAGGGTAAAGATAGGTGAGGGGAAGCTTGCTACTAAAGAGGCCTTCTTCCTTTTTTCTTAACTAGATTGGCCTCAGTCACATGTCTGTCCCTCCTCTGCCCAGAACACTCAGTCATATTTAACTGACCTCGTTATTATATATAATCTCGCCACTTCTCTTACCCTTCTTTCATAGATGTCTATGTCTTTCCTGTCTAGATAAACACTGTACATGTCTATGATTATTCTGTTTTGAACTGCTTAAAAATTTTGTTATACTTTTGCTGTATTTCCAGTTGGGAAGTAAGACAGATGGTATCTGTCAGGTACTTATGGTGAGCCTGTCCTTCCCATGCCTAGAACACACTTATAGTAGAATCTATAGCATAAGAAGAAAAGTACTAGAAATCAATGATGATAATTAAAAATAAGAATAGCAGCTATGTTTTTGTCCTATGTACTTTGTATATGCTAATTAATCTGCCCATCAAATGACCTTTAAAGGTAAGTATAATCCTCATGTCACAGAGAAAGAGACATACATAACTCCTAAGTAGAGGAACCAGAGCTTAAATGACACTCTTATTCCATTATACTTGTGATAAGAGTGAAACAAGAATTGCTATCTGGGACATTTTAAGAATGATCAGTAATATGAATTGAATATAAAAAACATGCAAACACATATGCTAAAACACTTTTTATTTGTATATATCCTATCAATAGAAATTTTTCTGTGGCAACTAATATGAATGAGTGTTAGCTATCATTTTCTTTAACATGTTCATAAATCTACATTTCTAGGGGTTCAAGCTAAACTATTCATTCCTATTTCGTAGATGAAAAACCATCTTTATGAATTAAGATCCTGGCTTGAAAACTTAGTTTTGTGTCATTACTTTAAAAGGTTTAAGGTTATTTTACTAAGTATTTAAAAAGTCATTTTAACTTTCTGTGCCTCAGTCCTGTCACACCTAACAGGTTTGTGGTAAGCAAAGTACTTAGACGATCATGCATGCTTAATAAATATTAGCTGTTATCATCCTTTTTAAGGTGACATCAAAAAATAGGTAGAATAAAATAATAGTTAATAATTAGAATTGTGAGTTGAGTGCCAGCTTCCCAGGCAAGTTAAAAGCTCTTCTTAACCTCAGTTTCTTCATGTGAAAATGGGGATCAAAACAGTCCACAGAAGTTATTGGAGCCAAGTGAAAAAACTGCAAAGCACTTGGCATAGGGCCAAGTATACAGTTTTCAAAAGATGAGGTCTCTTCACAAACAGGAGCTGTGAAAGTGCTAAGAGTGATACATTTGGTGCTGGTTGTGATGTTTGTGATTTTACCTTCTCAGAATAATAAAGAAGGAGAGAATAACTGAGACTATGCTGGGCTTCAGCAGGTCACTAGGCACTTTCACGTGTCATCTCATGGAAAACTGGACATCGACAGTAGATACTACAGTACTTTCTGATTTACCTGACTCTAGTTTATTTTGAAGTGAAGGAAAGACAACAACAACAACAACAACAACAACAACAAAAAAACCCCAGAGTGCTATATGGTCTTATTATGTATAGTTATAAAGTATAAAGTAAGGCTTTCTGATTTACCTGACTCTAGTTTATTTTGAAGTGAAGGAAAAACAACAACAAAAAAAAAAAAACCCCAGAGTGCTATATGGTCTTATTATGTATAGTTATAAAGTATAAAGTAAGGCTTTCAATTTTTAATTTTAATTTTTTAAAAAAATTCAAGCTAAGTGTTCCAAATTCCCCACCCACATTAAGTTTAACAAGAAACTTCTCAACTTTTTGGCTGAAAAATGTCTATTATTCCTGGTAGGAATACCTATCATTATTTTAACTGACAATGTGAAATTCTTTAGAACACTAAAATAAACTAGTTTTTAAAACAGTGTGGAAAATCCAGTGGGTGATAGGCATAAAAATTAAGGGTCTTTCTCCAAAATATTCACTGACACAGATGTCTATCTTCAGGACAGAAGATAAGTGAATAAACATAATAGAAAATAGAGAGAACTGTAATGACTTAATTAATGCAATACATTTTATTTAAAAGGTTAAATTTGGAACAATCATCTTTTATACATATGCTTAGTGTTGAGAAGCAATTTAAATAACAGTAGCAAATGAGAAAATGAGGTAAAATTACATGCACCGCCAAGTTTTTTTTTAAATGGCAAATGTTATAATTAATACTCAACTTTCTTTATAACCCACATTACCTTAGAGCTACTATTAACGTTATCTCTTGGGACTAGCACTTAAGTGTAGTAGTTTCACTGCATTATATTTAGATAGCACAGTGACTGGAGTGGTAGCAATATGAATTATGATGAGGTGTCATTTTGAATAAAGGATTTATTTATCAGAAACCAGAAACTGAGTAGGTCTGGCATAAGAAAGATCTTTTTTTTTTTTTTTTTAAAGTAAAGTACCAAAAACATCAAGTAAGAATATGTTGATGGAGCAAGAGCCTAGGTTTTTATTCTGGTTCTGATGGCAGATTTTTTTCTTTTGTTTCTTATTCTTTCTAAATTTCTAGAACTTATTACTTTGTCACTCTTATCCTTCAGTTTTGCTCAAGGACTGGTACTACTTGCTCTTGAATATCTTAAAGGCATGTTACAGTAATGGAAGAGATATGAATGCATAGTTGAGTCTTTCTGAAGATGCAGTTCACAGGCAATTTTATTATGACCATTGTTTTCATTACAGACTTTATTAAATACTAGAGGGCATTGTAGACGTGCTCCTTTTGAGATTTTTCTGGATTTATTTAGATAATGGGATTTCTATACTTAGCTTCTCTTTCCTGACATTCAACACAAGATCAATGGACACTATCTGATTTAATTACCACAAGGTGCTTAATAAAGAGGACATGCTTTGGCTTGGAAGACTAGCTTAGGAAAAACAGCAGCCTCATGGCCTGATTCTCCTGGTTATAAGTGTTTGAAGGTAATCAGAACTGTCCAACTGCTAATAGCACTTGTTAAAAAAGCATAAGCAGACTGCATTTTTCCACTTTATTTCAACCAGGTTCATTGTTAGGGTGAGAAAGAAAATATGAAGGAAAAATATCTATGAACAAGGTGGCACTCAGAGAACTTGTTAGGGGCAAATGTTGCATATAATACTTAGGCACATGGCTTCCCAGTACAGTGCATTTATACTAATATAGTGATCACTTAAAGTGTTTTATTCATTTTTCAAGGCTTCTTACACACTTTAAATGCTTTCTCACTAGGGGAAAATAATCTCCTTGCTTACTGATAGCATTTGACACATATTCTATAACATAAGTGACTATTAGGGACTGCACTTGCTTAATAAAAATTTGCAGGATGGTGGCAGATTTGGTGAGTTAATGGGCCCCACATGCTCTTCTCACACTGACAGGATATGGTATGTTGCTAACATGCACAAATTGCTTCAGATAAAAATTGCCATCAGCTCCAGTTATCCTTTCTCAGAACAACACAATGTCACGAATGTGGAATATGCAAATGTGTCACTACTTCATTTTGAAACAGTTTGAGGGCAAGTAGCACTCTAAAATATGATGCAATCCTAGTTTTTCTTTTTTACATTAAGCACCATTCACCATTAACCACTTAATTTTTGATTTTCATA